GCATGGCTAGGTGCTTGATTTTATACACCTGTGGAAATGCACCTGAATGAAACACCTGAATTCAGTGATTTAGAGGTTTGTCCGAGTACTTTTGTCCATATATGGTGTATATATTTTTTAATTACTTTGTCTGGGCTCCCTTGTGTCGATTGGGCCCTAGAAGTTGTTCAATTTGCCTATGTCTGGATTCAGCTCTGGCCATGGTGAGACCACACACCCTGCCAGATTATCCCAGAAAGCACCAGGCATGAGGAAGGGGACACCCTAGATGGGATGCCTTTGTACAATTAGATCTTACTATATGTGCTTAAAATGTACTCTTTTTTTTCCAAAATCACGGACACACTTGAATTACAGCAAGATATCGTGCACTACTATTCAGACTTTTGTTCATTCTGCTCACTTATTTATAATGCACTACTTAGACAACCCATTTGGGAGAAGCACATTACCAACTGCCTTAAGATACTGCATAGGGGCACCATAACTATCAGGGTCTTGCAGGCAGTACACGGTAAAGTACATAAAACACTGTCTTCAAATGTTAACATCAAAATGTTTGCAAATACAATCACTTCCACCAAGCCCCACTGCATCTACCCCCGACTTCATGGTGAAGTGTGTACTTTAAGCGTTATTAATTGTGGAACATCACAGATCAGACAAATATGCAGCGATACTAATTGCAGAACTCACAGAGCATCCTAACACAACAGTCTTTTTCTTAGTCACGGTTTCCGAAAGCCCAGTAGACATTGCAAAAGTTTGCACTTCCACATTTAGCCACGTTGCTGCATTTCAGTTCCTCGTGCGGTTGCTGTTCAGCTGGTACTGACAGCGAGCAGAGCAGGGGCCCCAGGCCTGAGAACCCCCGCCTCTGTGTGAAACGCACATTACCAACAAAGGAACTGTTTCTCTACTATCTACACCTGTCCCTTCCTGGGGAGGGACGTGGGGGGATCGGGAGGGAAGAGTACGTGCTCACCTAGACCCTGCTGTCCTGTCGCTCCATGCAGCACTGCCCTCCCAGCGCGGTCACTTCCCGTATTGCTGTACTGTGCAGAACTGCACATCACACTTCCTCCCCCCGCCCCGCCCCTCAAAAGCTCCCTATCACATAAGCACAGGCTGTCCAACGAAAGTCTCTATTTCAGTTTTTTTTTTTTTTTTTTTTAACTTTGTTACTTATTTAGCAACTAGGCTTTTACTAACAGTTCCTTTAAGTGACTAAAAAGCTCAGAAATGGATAAGGGAACTAAAAATGCAACTCCCAAGGGTCCCTCTTTAAAGTTTAACTAATTGTCACATGTCACTCCTAGGCATGCCAGTGGCAGTTAGCATCCATTTTCCACACCACTTAATATCACAGGGTTGTGGTAACCTGCGTATCCCAGGCAGCGTAAGGCACAAGGCAGGGAACATCCTGAAGAGGATGCCAGGGTGTGTACACAGACACACAGACACACACACACACACACACACACACACAGACCTATACTCATGTCATTATGAGGACCATCCATTCATTTCTATGGGCAAAACCCAAATCCCAACAGTGACGACCTTAACCCCTACCCAGCCCTAACATTAAACACAAGTAGCCAAACAAACTCTTTTGGCATTTTTAATTATTTCATTGCGCTGACAGATTTTTATTGAAATTTAATTTTCCCCTGTGGGGACTGAAAAAAAAAACACACAAACACACACACACACAGACACGCACTATAGGCATAATACAGATGGCAATCCATGCAACCACATTTTTTAACTATGTGATGAACACAAAAGAAACAAAGAGAACACATGCAAATTACATACACCCAGAACCAGGAAGGGGATTTCAACCTTTGACCGGCGAGAAGTGATGTGAAAATGCAACCTACTACGCTAGCAGGCCATGGAACCTAAAGACAGAGCCGAAATCCCATAATGATTTCATTACATCGACTAATTAATCTGATGCCTTACAGGAGAGGGAAGGGTTACAGTTTATGTGTGCTCCCTGGAATACTTACATAATTACATTGCGCTATTTCGTATATTGTTCCTGTTTACATTACATTACAAATGAGAAGGTGGAACCGTCACGTGGGCATCAGGAATAATGTGCAAACTCAGTACGCGCAAAACTGGGGGGAGGGACCCAAGGAGTGTGAGGTCACAGAGTTTCCCGGGACACTGCACTGTCTCCACAGCTAGATGGGTGCAAAATTCAAATTGCAGGTGTTATGTCTCACTGTCTCTCCATGAGGTCCATCAGCACTAAAATATTGCACAACAAATCAGCCTGCAATCAGCTCTGTGTAATCTGTGCTTAAGCAAGTCTGATTTCAAGTAGAAGAGCTTACTGGATTAGTTCATCAGATCAAGAAGGACTTGCCTCCAGTGCTAAATGTTTGCAGCGTCTTCACAGAAGGACAGAAGCTTGAGCCGACATTTCCTGAAAGTATGACAGCACCACACAGGAAACAGGCAATATACCATAAAGGAGCCTGTAGTTCTCAGCCCACACAGAGGTACGGAGAGCGAGAGCGAGTAGCACTAATGTTCTCACACACCATCGACATATCTAAACCACAGAAGGTTTAGAAATGCACTATTGTTCTGTCAAGTGCATTTATCTGGGTCACTTTTGGAGAAGCTTTAAAATGGCTAAGCTGACACACTCGGCATGATATCGACATGATACCTACAGAAAAGTATCATTATAACATAACTTTCTTAAACGCCATTGTATAATAACCCTCCAGTTCCCATGTGGCCTTCTCAAGCAGCCCATGAGAATACGCATGGACCAAATGTGTTATCCATCACCTGATTCCTAGGCACTCTGCCTCCTGGTGTAGCCAACTGAGCTACAATAACAAACCTCCATTTAAGTCCAGACAGCCTTACCTGGCATCTGATTTCTATCCAGGACCATAAAGCTCAACATGTTAGACAGGAAACTCAGCAAAAAAAAAAAAACACAACATAAAGCAAAAGTAAAAATCACTTGTAAAAATCTTTAAGATTAGATAAACTTATTTTACAGTATCAACAAAATAAGTAAAATGTGTTTGTCATACATTTTTTACAAGCAAATTTATTGATGATATTATGCTTGCATTCACTATAGAAGCATCTTCACTGTTGATGTTTTCTTAGTGTCTAAACCTACATTTAAAGGACTGAAACATGCTGTTTGCATAAGTAGTCAATCCCTGTGTTGCAGAAGCACTAAGTTTAAACCATTAAAGAGGACATAAGACACAATGTGGGGAGGGGGGGGGTGGTCAGGACTGTGTCCGTATTCAGGGGCTGCATCCTGACACAGTCAAAGTGACATGATAAGACCATTTCGAAAGCTCCTTCAAATGCAGCCTAGACATACATGACTCTTTTGCCAAGTTTTCATTGCACGAACCTTTGAACTTCAAAGTTTGAAGGACGCAGCTTGCAAGGGCTACACAGACCCCATCCTTCGAAGGACGTAGCCCCTGAATTCGGACACAGCATAGGTCTGTGATCAGGAGGTTGCCAGAGTGACTGAGCAAGGCCCAAGACCCCAATTTGTGTACAGGGGAGCTGCATGCTTGCTGACCCTGTGCTGTGACCCCCAAGTTTGCTCTCACTTGTATATGTGTCTGTGTATTTCAGAAAGGGCAAGTTGCGATAGGCGAAAAAACAATTGAATATAGTATCTCTTTTCCAGATGCATTTCTGAACTGCATTTGAAGACGCAGCTTTTGATTGGGGCAGTCGTGTCACATGACTGTGATGCATTCGGTCTTCAAATGCTGCCTTCAAAGGAGGCAGCCCAGAATTCGGACACAGCCAGCCTGGACAGCTTACCTGATCCATTCCTTCCGGGAGCTCGGTTCTTGTATAGCGTACATGAGTGCATGTGTCACGATGTCATGTCTGTGTTCCGCACCCGGGCACGGTTAGCGATCACATGACATCCATGCCATGCTCGAGTCTGACTAATCATGCTCTGGCCTACTTCTCCCAGTGCGCCACACCAGAGCACAGTATGGGGCGAACACATCATTCAAAGGAACTGGACAGTGGGGGTCAAACATGGTCAGGCATGGAGTGAACTGGCGAGTCTGAGTGCAGCTGATCAAGGAAGACGTGCATCTAGACGCTTCTCTATTTTGGCACCTAAGTGGTGGAATGAACTTCCCATATATGTCCAAACAGCTGAGTCAAAGGGTGCCTTCAAACGACGACTAAAAGCCTACCTCTTTCGGAATTACTTGGATTAGTACTTCTAGAATTATAATCTTATTATTTAAAAAAAATGTTACTTGCCAACAGAATCTTTGAGAGTGATAGTAATCTTAGCCGGGTTCCATTGAAACAGTATCAGAATGTATTCACTGATGAGGCTTCTAAGCAAATTAACATCGCTCTGGCTAAGGGTGCCAAATACCATAAATGTACATGTAAATGTGTTTGGTAAAAACAGGAACTCCATTATCTTGAGCACTACGACCAGACAGTGTGACTTTTACCTCAGAGATGGACACTGTATGCAATAAATAATTATATAATTATGTTCTTTTATCTCTAAGTCAAGAGACAAGTGACCATGCATGCAAATGACATATTTCCAGGTCCAGAGTTCAATTTAGATGTCAATTCCAGTTGAGATTACGCTGAAATCTGGGACAGAAAATGCAAACACTGCTCAGCCCTCATACATACATACAGAGCTGGGGAGCAGGAGACATTATGGGACTTTAGTCCTCCAGTCTGTCCTGTACTGTGAGGCGTGTCGTGCTGCATGCAATTACAGCATCTGGGCGGGATAAGGGCACCCTAGGGACAAGCTGATGGACATAACCTGGGGACAAAAATCAGCAAACAAAACAGCTTTATAATAATAATGACAATCTTTGACTGGATTGGCGGCCAACCCTGCCCAACGGATGGCCTCCAAGACCTTCCCAGTGTGGACGAGCTGTTCCTCCCAGTTGTCCTCCAAATAATAATAATAATAATAATAATAATTCAAAGGCTGAACAATTTATTTGCCTTGAACATTTTCAAGAAAGTAAAGTTAATTTACTCTCTTTTTTAAAATTCCCTTTTTGAAGATAGTAGTCTACTTGAAGTTTGTTCCTGTTGTTTTTTAATTGCATGTTCCTCGTTGTGCTCGGTCATCGGTTACAGCACTAAAAGAGATTTTCTGGGTATGAGCCATTAAAAAATTACACGGATTTTTATGTATATTTTGCTGTATGACTGTCAGTAAGAGACGTACTGGATTCGCAAGCGCAGTCGTATACAGTAAGCCTTTGCGTGGTATAAATTGATTTCACCCAAATACAGTAGGCTACTGGAATGCTAGGCTATGTTCTTAAGCTATAGTAGTCCTGTTTCTTGCTGACTTGACCGGCCCTGATTACAATAAACTTTTCCTGTCTTTCAAATTTCATGTCTTCACGCAAAACAGGCAGTTCCAAAATGAAAAGATATTGCTGGATGATCCAAGGTTGAATGATAAACCTCATAGCAGTGCTTAAATAAAGTGAAAATTCAATAATGCACATATCAAACATAAATTGAGAAAAAATCCGAAAACTAGAAAAACACACAGATACACACACTTGTGCGCGACGCGGATGAAGCCTTTCAATAACCTAAATCTGCTTTCATGAGACTTTCTTCGCCGTTATTTTTGTTACATTTTATGTAACAGATATAACACTGAGACGCAGATCCCAAAACAGTAGCTACAGTACACGTCATATTGTTAGTTTTACATTTGATAACACATTAAGCATTAAAAAACAGAACTGCACAGCTGCAACAATTAAATGCAAATGGTAGGCATAGATGATGTAGCGGTGACTTTTATTCTAGAGTAACGATTGAGCTAAATTCACAAATACTCCTAGCGACATCTAGCCAACTACACACCCAATAAATGCCCAGGAAATAAGTAAGGAAAGCGGGGCTCGCTTCCTCCCAGCTTGACTTGGCATACGCTAAAATGTCTTGAAAAGTTTCTGAGAGCAAGTATTAGAGTTTACAAGGGAAAGACAAAAGTACACTTGTAACTCAAATGGCAATAGTCGTACACGTCGGACACCAGTACGTACTGTATCCTCACGATTCACTTTCATGATTTAAAGTGTTCGGTTTCAATCAAAACCACCTGAGGCATTGCAGTTTCGTTTTCTAACTGGATATTATTTTTCTAAATGTGCAGAAACATGCCAAGTTTGATGCAAAAAGTCATAAGAAAAATCGAGACGCACAAACCATAGCCTAGATGCATCCCAGTGAGTGCCACTCCTTTTGATATATTTTTTCATTCTGCGCTACAGCTTCCAGTTAATCTGGTAAATGTTATCGGTAATGTTTAACTTACCTTCGTTAAAGTGTCTCTGACTCAAACTGTCCTCGCATCACGAGCAAAATTAGATCGTCTTCATAAACATCTGCAACCGGGACATTTACCCAGTGTAAAGGCATTTATGGCTTAACAGAGAAACTTCTGTTTTTTCCCAAATCCGGGACATTCATAGTGATGCAATGTTTCCAGATGTGATACTTACTGAGCGTTGAGGAAGATATCGTTTGCTATTTTGCCCAGTAACATAATCAGAACAAATGAAAAAGAAAAAATGCATCATAATGCGTAATAAAATCATGATTTGCAGATGACGGAACCTATATATACAGGCCTACGCCAAAACATAATTTATACAGGCATTGCTAAAGAATGATCTTACCGTCTGTTTAAGACGAAAAAGGCATTCTCAACCGTCTTTTAACTTTTCTTTTTGCATTACCACGACAGCTTTAACGGGTTTAATCAATTCGAAATGTGTCGATATAGAGGAGATATTCCATCCGAGACACAGAGTCAAAGAGAAAATATGAATTACGCAAGGTAGACTTGACTTTTTTGTTTTCTTTTTGCCCTCCGGAAGAAAATATAAAAATGTCTGATGCAATTAACATACAATTGAATGAAAGGTGAACTGTCAAACTCAGCTGTTACTTTGTTGCAGGATAAAATGAAAATAGGTTGCACCCTCTAAAGTCTGAGAGCAAGACTGGAGGTAATTTCATGCAATACCTATGCTTTAAACTGCCATGCCTTTAATGGTTAATGCAATTAGTAAAACTCAACCATGTTTACAATTGGCTTAAATTGTAATTGGAGGCCTAGATGCTTGTTATTTATACATAAGCCTGGTGTATAATATCAGTGCCTACTTGTGTAGGATTAGCCTAGCTGTAAAATGTAACTAAATTAATCCCAAATTCAACAAATATTCAATACAATAATGTAAATAATAATACACTTTGATTGAAAAGTTAAAAACTATATAGTCACATGCAAAACATTTGTAAATATTTGTGAATGCATCATTTTACCCAAAATAAAGATACGCAATGTGGAAAACAAGGTTACGCCCTATTCGACATCATCGCCTCCTTGTGTATCAATCCTGCATGTTGAGCTCAATGAGGCGGCCAGCAAACACGCCCAACGTGCCAATGATGCACACGGCCATGAACACACACAGCAGGATGTGATCCAGCACCATGGCAACAAATTTCCACTCCTCAGCGGCCTGGAGAGAGCACAGGGTGGAGAGGCAGAGAGGTTAGGGAGAGTCACTGGGGACAGGGAACACATGACCACAGCAGACGTCTTATGGAGTATTTACCACACTTGCTCAAAATATGATTCTGCAAAAAACTGGCTGGACTTTTGAGTTATGCCACAATATGGACGGTTTGCCAGCCTTAGAACGTGCCCTTACATTATTGGATTCCTCATCAGACTTCATGGTCTCGGCGATGTATTTGACTCCATCAATGGCACTGCGGACGTCAGGGTTTTTAATGATGGGCGACTGAAAAGTAACCGAGGGCGGGGTGGGCTTTCCCGAGATGTCAGAGATATCGAAGTCCGCAGTGAAGATGGACTTGTCCTGCCTCTCCTTGGCCGGCCTCTTCATTGTTGAGAAGAACATGACGTTGGGAATTGTCTCGATGAAGATCTAGAATTGACCAGAAAACAAACTTTAAAATCCAGTATTTCTAAAAATAAAATCTTAATGGGAAATTCCATGAAACAGTGACATTCAAGTAGATACTCATCATCTTACAATATCCTATGTATGCAAATATTTTTGTTTTAACACATAAAAATTAAAGCTGCCCCTTTGTTTTTGTCGTACGGATCTGTACGATCCTCGTGTGTGCCACGCCCCCTCGTTACCTCGTGTTAATTCCTGATTGTGATCACCTGTTGCTTATTCAGTTTAGCCTGTCTTTAGTATTTAGTCCGTGTCTCAGTCAGTATTCCCCAGTTCTGTCATTGTATTGTTTCGATGTTCGTCGCCTGTCTACCCGGAATAAACTCCGTATCTCGGCATTCACGGCTTTCTCGCCTCCTTCCCTGTCCGCCCGTCCGCCGAATCGTGACAGTTTTTCACCCAGTGACATCATAAAGAGACATTTCTTTGAGAAACTTTGCAGATTCACATCTGAGAAACATTCTATTCACATTCGTGCCAGATGGAGGCCATTTTGCACAGAGAGTGTCACAGGGTGACACAACGAGCACCAATTTAAGGAACAATTGATAACTTGATATGAACAGACTCTAGTGTGTCTAACAATTTAACCCGACTCTTACCCTTCTCTAAAGGCAAAAATGTTCTTATTGCTATAGAAGTCATTCTTACATTTAGCTATAATTTGAATTTTCTTGTACACTAGTGGCCAATATTGTGGAAACACCTTCAATTTTTACAGATCACAGAACTTTATTCCATTTACTCCAGTTACATATTTAATCATCCAATGTATGATATTCATAACATTCTTTGATTGTTTATAAACATTACCGCAACTATTTGTGCAATAATTTTGTGTGTAATGCCAAAAATACTAAGCATTTCCACAAGTGTACTTCCTACCAGTACAATGACAATAAGAATATTCTATTCTTTATTCTGTTTACCAGGCTCAATCAGTTATCTGGGTTACACAACCAAAGCTTTCCTCTGAATTATCATTAGCAGATCAGGATCCAGTGAAAATGGATTCATTATCGGACCAAAACAAAAGAACCCGCATCGTTTAATACTTATCGCTGCCTTGTTATTCACATTAACTCCTGCAGGTGGCAGCATAAGATCATGCATTTGCTCTCTATGGCAATGATTCATTTTTTAACGTGACAATTTTCATGCCAAAATGTGTAATATTTAGGGGACTGAAATACAGCCACTACAACTAAAACATGTTTCTTTTGTTGTTTTTGTTTTAAATTTTATTAAAAAGTAACACTGGTAAAGTGAGGTAAACCAAAGAGATTCTTTTTCTTTTCTAAGGATTATTTTTCATCATGACCACTTTATGATGTATGTGCAAGCAAAGATCCTGCATTTTCAATTACCATACAGACATTATCAGCAAGCAAACTGCAATTTACGAAGACTGAGGAATTTATTTGGCTTTATTATAGTGTATAACCCATAGAGGAGGAGCATACTGGGCGGCAAAGAGGTTAAACAAGAGACATCCCAGTATGTGATTGGAAGCCAACTAGCATAACCCCTCCCACTCTGAAAAAAGAGACCATAGACTGACTGGTAACTGCCTGCTGTACTCACCTTACGCACCCACTGAGGCATGGTGTGGGTGCTTGGGGAGCGGTGGTGAGTATTGATGACAATGACAGTGATGACGATGGAGGCGATGACGAACACCATGGTGAACAGCATGTACTTCCCAATGAGGGGCACAGCACTGGAGGTTGATGGGATCAGCTCCACAATGACCAGCAGGAACACGGTCAGGGACAGCAGAACAGAGATGCTGAGGGTCATCTTCTCCCCTGAGGAGAAACACCACGTGCAAGAGGCCAGCTGAGTTCTAAAGACAAACCTGATGCTACGCAAAACAGACTTTCCTAACTCAGCTGACCAAGAGACTATGGAATACTATACAATACAGTCCAAGACTGAGCTAACTCCAAAAAAGTGCTGAACTGTGTACATCCTGTTCTGCTATTATACTCCAAAATGCGAGTCAGCTTAATTGTGATTGGTAAATAGGAAAATGATGTATGTACTATAACACGAATCACATGTTAACTTTTATGCAATCTTATCCTTCACATGTTTATGCTTTATAAAGATCTCTTCTGGGATCAATGTATATCATATATTATGCTACAGGAAATAGCGGTTTGTCCACTGCACCAGGTACCGTACTTTTAATACTTTAAGAAAGTACCAACAGTACAGTACTTCAAAGTGTTGGCTTTCCACTTGAGTAAAAATTAAATGACATCACAATGCGAGGTGGGGTATTTTGTAGGCTGTTGAATCCAGAAAATGGCTGTAGTATATTATAGGGCTGGGTAATGTGTGATATTAATACCAACATCGCATGTCATGCACATGCGATTCTTACATCGCAAGGACCGTGATAGTCAGCTGGGTTGAGATCAGGCTTTTTCATACCTTCATACTGTCCAGATATTATAGCATTTTTACTTTGTCATAGGAAACAAAATTTCCTAAGACTCAGCTGCAGGCAACATCGCATGCATTGCAATTTTAATGATTGTTCATTTTCAAGATTATCTATCCATCCATCCATCATCTGAAACCACTTGTCCTATTCAGGGTCGTGGGGGGTCCAGAGCCTATCCAGGAGGGTACCGGTGCAAGACAGGGAACAACCCAGGATGGGGTGCCAACCTATTGGAGGGCACACTCACACACCATTTACACACACATGCAATTATCCTCAGCATGTTTTTGGGCCCTCGCCCGGACGTGGGTCACTGGGACCCCGATGACAACCGCCTGGTGGCCAGGCCTGGGGGTGGGGCTCGGGCGAGCACCTGGTGGCCAGGCCTGCACCCATGGGGCCTGGTCGGGCACAGCCCGAACAAGGCACATAGGTCCCCCCTCCAATGGGCTCACCACCTGTAGGAGGGGCCATAGGGGTCGGGTGCAGTGTGAGTTGGGCAGTGGCCAAAGGCGGGGACCTTGGCGGTCCATGGAATGTCACCTCTCTGGTGGGGAAGGAGCCTGAGCTGGTGCGTGAGGCTGTGAGGTTCCGACTAGATATAGTCTGGCTCACCTCGATGCATGGCTTGGGCTCTGGAACCAGTCTCCTTGAGGGGGGTTGTACCCTCTTCCATTCTGGAGTTGCTGGCGGGGAGAGGCGCCGAGCTGGGGTGGGCATACTTATTGCCCCCTGGCTGGGCGCCTGTACATTGGGGTTTACCGCTCTCGATTTCCCAGTCGATCTACATTACTACCCTCACCTATGGTCATGAGCTGTGGGTAGTGACCGAAAGAACAAGGTTGCGAATACAAGCTGTCGAAATAGGTTTCCTCTGCAGGGTGGCTGGGCTCTCCCTTAGAGATAGGGTGAGGAGCTCGGTCATTCCTCTGCATCGAGAGGAGCCAGATGAGGTGGCTTGGGCATCTGGTCAGGATGCCTCCTGGACGCCTCCCTGGTGAGGTGTTCCAGGCATGTCCCACTGGGAGGAGGCCCCGGTGAAGACCCATGACACGCTGGAGAGACTATGTCTCTTGGCTGGCCTGGGAACGCCTCGGGGTTCCCCCGGAGGAGCTGGATGAAGTGGCCGGGGAGAGGGAAGTCTGGGTTTCCCTGCTTTGACTGCTGCCCCCGTGATCCGACCCGGAAAAACAGTAGAAGATGGATGGATGGATAGATGTTTTTGGGCTGTGAGGGGGGAACCAGAGTACCTAGAGGAAACCCCACAACGACACAGGGAGAACATGCAAACTCTAAAAACATAGAGTCATGGAGGAGGATCAAATCCTGGTCCCTGAGGCGTGAGGCAATAGGGCTAACCAGTGCACCACCGTGTCACCCAAGACTATCTAGTATGTATAAAACTCAGTTTAAAGTTTACTTCTGCTACTTTTGCATGAGCGCTGCACGTGTTCTCCGAGACAATCACAATCATTTCATCCTCACTGTTTATCATTCATAGATAGGTTTGTGAGAAACTTCACTACATTTGAAAATTTTCCGTGCTGCCCTAGTATAGAGACGCTCCTCTACTTATGAACTTTCAACTTACAAACTTTCAAACATATGAACGAAGAGGACTGTAAGTCCAAATTGTGTTCATTGGGCTCCCATTTCCGGTCCACAACATCAATTTTTTTTTCTGTGCGCCAATTCCGCCTAGTATGACTTCTGGCCGCTACTCTCGCTGTGCAGCAGTGTAGCGTGTGTACTCCCAGCATCCTAGGTCTTTGTACTTGCGTATACCCTTAACATGATGTTGAATAACGACTTACAAACATTTTAAGTTACGAACAGTCGTTCGGAACGTATCTCATTCGTAAGTTGAGGAGCATCTGTATTATTCTAAATACTTTTTTATTTCTTATCATAACATCCTAAACTTGTTGTATCTGTTCCTCCGACCAGATCGCCATCAAAGCTTGGGCCACACGTGTTATTATAACTTTTTTTTTCTTTTTACTTTTTATAATTGTTTTTCTAAGTTTGTAACGTTTTTCGAGACAGTGGTTATATTGTGTTTCAGCGGCAGGCTATTTGCATAAACAATCAACAAAGGAAGAGTTTATAAGTACCACTCAAAAGGACCAAAGTACCAAAAAAGTACCTCAGGAGGTTTGGCACTATAGGTACTGGAACTTTTAATACTGGTACTCGAATGAAAGTCAATGGAAAAGGGAAAGTACCCAAAGTACCGTACTTGGTATGGTGTAAAAGTGCCCCGTAACTAAAGACTGAGTCTGGGTTCACATACACACTACAATTTCAATATAAACATGTGATTCTATACTATTATTCTTTGCTTAGTCTTGAATCAAACCAAAATTAGACTTTTTTGATAAAGTTAATGGACTAGCTGGTGTGATGTTATTCTACTGAAATGGTTCATATTGATAGTCATCATAAGATGTCACAAGCATGTTGCACTAAGGAAACCCATTACCTGAGTCAGTGGGCAAGTAGAAGACCAGGCCTGTGAGGAAGGAGAAGAGCATGCAGGGGATGATGACGTTGACGATGAAGTAGAGGGGCAGCCGGAGCATGAGGAAGTGGTAGGTGATGTCCAGGTAGGGCGTGTCAGGGCAGCAGGCATAGTACACCCAGTGCTTCCAGCTACGGTAATCCTTCATCACCCACTCGCCACTCTCCATGAAATTACTCAAGTCAGGCCTGTCGCTGTCCTGAGGAGGTCAAGAAGTGCAACAGGGCTATGTAGGGGAGTTAGGCAGGTCACGAATCTATTTTCCTGGAACAGTTACATTATTTTTATATGCATTTGCCATCAGCCCTGTACGCACAGCAGAACAAAGGAATGGAAGCCCAGATCACATGATTACCGGGTTGACCACGACCAGGTTGCCATCATACGTCCACGTTCCCAGTTTCATGCTGCAGTTCTGAAGGTCGAAAGGGAAGTACAACACAGTGATCTCACAGTAGCTCTTGAAGATGGCAGGCGGGGTCCAGGTGATCATGCCGGTGTGCTCCAGCAGCACCTTCGTCTCGTGCACGATCGCGAAGTCCCCATCAGCACTGTGAGGAGACATCAGAGGCAGAAAGCTTTTAGCAAAGGCTGGACAACTGCACTATGACTTAACCAGGAATGCCACCTGCAACAGTTGCCAAAGCACAGTTGCCCTGAATAAATGGCGAATGTGACTGATATAGCGTCTGGTCTGATGACCGGATTCAGTCAGAGGTACTATTTGCCAACTCCGCAGAAGGGGGAGCTATGTGACATCAAAGCAAAGTCATGACAAGTCACTGCTGGAGTACTGAGCTAGCCTAGCCTAGCCTAGCCTAGCCTAAGCACACTGAAACTGCACAGCGAACAATGACATAAAAGATTGATTCTTACTTATTATAAAGAACAAGATCAGGGCGCCAAATATCAGATGATGGTATTCGGATTTTTTTTATTCCACCATATTCATCGGGGTTCCATTGCAAGTTTACATCTTTCCATTGCTAAAAACAAGAACAAAACCATATAAGGCTCTATACAACACACATGGCATACAACCAAGTAACATGAAATTTGTTTCAATTACTCTTTTCCCATTAAGTAATTCAATCCTAATTGTTTAACCTATGTCCTTATGAATAGGTACATATAATTTTAAGCAATTTTATTTCTGATTAAGTCCAGGGAAAAGGAGAGATACCTGCTTAAGTCTCACATTGCTAGTGACAATCTGATTTACTTCATCCTGAAGGAGAAGAAGAAAATAGGTAAATCTGGAGCAGGGAGCTGGGGGGGCGGGGGTTAGTAGCAGGATTTATCACCAATCTCGTACCACGCTGATGAGCTGGATGAGCTGAAGGCCTACGGTCACCACCACTGGGTCTTTGAAATGGTTGACAGGCCGAACCACCTTGTTGTAGCCAGTGAAAAGCTGTTTGACCAGGCGGGTTTCGTCCTCTGAGCACCGAGCCAGTCCTAAAAAAAAACACGTACAGTGTGATTTAATATGTGTTAGACCGAGCCAAGTGTGTGAGTGATAAACACCGATACGGAGTAGGCAAACAGCCACAGATATGTACAGCCAACCAAAGGAATGTTGTTTACTGTAAGACAGAGATTCATTGTAATGCAGGACTTTAGAATCGCAATAAACCAACAGGCCTCCTACACAACAATCAGAAAAAGAAGAAAGCGCAGTGAAACAATACTACAATCTGTGGTGACTTGTAACTTGTCATGTTCTGCTCATGCTGTGCTACCAACAGTGACTGGAAGACACAAGACAACAGCCAAATGTATCACATGGTGTATTTTAAGAGTGCAAATACTCCTGGGTGCACCAGGATATTAGCAGCTGTCCAAACAGCTGAGGAGAGAGTTCATGAATGAGACGCTCTTACAAACAGCCCAGACTTTTATGAGGCCGAGCACGGCAGTTAAGAAGACATTGTCTTAACAATACTTACACTAAGCTTAAAAACAACAATAGGTACATAATGATTAATTGTTAACATGAACAGTTACCAGTTAAATAAATCCTAACATGACATAACATGACATGACAGCAAGAGTTCAGTTAATATTTTCTATTTTCAGTCAGTTGTGCATTTTAGTACAACTAGTATAACGGGCACAGTGGGTAAAATTGTCCGTTTTATTACTAGTTACAAGTTGCTTTATACGCCGTTTATCCAGTTAAATTTTTTATCCCCCTCTTTGCCGTAAGGTAAAGTTACCAGATGATAATTGTGACAGACACATGATACAATTACAGAAGAGCCTCTGCTATTTCCGCCTTAGTCTGAACCAAGTAACCAGTATCCGATTTTCCTCTGCGTATGACCTTGACACCAAAGCTTTACATTCATGAGGAATCTTTACAAAGTTTTAAACGCAACGAAAAAAAGGAATACAGTTTAGGTAACGATGCGATGCGGACATCTCATTCTTTAAAGGTGTAAGTAACACGTTTGCTATCCCGAAAACAGCAATGCAATAGGCTATAAGAGAAATAACGCACATGTACCTGTCAATCAAGACCACCTCCACTACTCCGCAGAAACATTGCGCTATTCCAATTCTTACAATTTGTAAGTACGTATTTTAAAATTTTATGGTCAAAAATCGGTTCGATACTTCCATCCATTCGTCCATTTTACACACCCGCTTGTCCTACTTTATTCTAAGAATTAATTTGTTTTTCTACACTTGAATAACTGGATAGACATTTGTAATTTGAAAACTATGCTATAATTCGGCTCGTAGGTAAAAAAGAAAAACTGGTCTTGATACTAAAATTACACTTATCTTTTAATTTCTTTTATCGTGAACAAAAATCACAAAGTTTTTACACCACGGTGCAAAAATACACAAAATATTGATATCGACATTAACAAATATGTAGAAACGTTTAAATATGCGACTTACCTGTTAATACAAGCAGCGAGAAAAAATACAAATAATTCATATTGTATCTGTGTTATTGATCATTAATAGATTTACATTCGATCTACTGAGAAAAGCTGTTGGTGACGTCCTGCACCGCCTCACTAAAGAATGACAGAGCGCAAAGATGTGGCGGATGCCTACATGGACTTCCGTGACTCCCACTGACGGGAGCTGCATTATTATTGTGGACCGCAAGTGCGCCCAAATGACAACTGGGTAAACCTCGACCGTGTCATTCGACACGTTCCTCCGTCTGTCCCAGCCCAGTCTAACCAGCATCAAGCTGAGCCATGCCTAGCTTACTGTAAGGATACCTTCAGCTGCCATTTTGAATCGCATTCAAGATTTGACACAAACTACCTGCATGTGTCTTCTATTAATTGGCACCGGTTTTATCTCTGTATCACAAACTGCGCAAAGTGCGACGCAGAGAGGTTTTGCTAGTTTCGTAGCAGCGCATTGCTCATTTTTATGGCGTACGCGCAAGTCGTAAAAATGGTACAGTGGTACCTGAGTTCTCGAAATCATTATAACTCGAATTTCTTAAAAGTCAAACCAACCAGTTCGAAAAAAAATTACCTAGGACTCGATCTGAATCTCAGAAGTCAAACCGTGAATGCCGACCTTGTACGCGTGGGGAAATGAGTCACGCCGCATGTCTCTCAGCGGAAACAAAGGGTAATGCTTCAGTCTCAGCCGCGCATTCGCTGTGATAGCATCCTGCATGTTTACACTACCTGAATACATATATTTAGACAGTAAAAATACATTCAGACAATGATAGACAGTAACAGTAATTATTATTATAAAATAAAATACATTTTAAAATAAAGATTTCTTATTAATTATTTAAATATTAATAATAAACCATTAATACATTTAATTATATAAATATTGTCCTGCCCAGCAGGACAGAACGGAGACAATGGCGCAGAAGTCAGGGTATCGGGGAATACGGGGTTTAATTACAGGTAAGGCAGGCAAAACGCAGACGGACAATAGAATGACCGGACTGGGGAAACAAACTGAAACGCGGAGGAAATACAGAGGACTAATGACAACAACCAGAAACAGCTGATCACACGGGGATTCCACACGGGGCTAAGGAGGGGGCGTGGCACACGGAAGGAGCGGAGGATCGGGGCAGGACACATTGTTTGGATAGATTTATTTTCTTACTTTAAAAATTACTGTTTTGATAAATGTGCTAAGATGTGTTTAGTACAGTATATACTCTTCTGGTTTTATCCAGTTCATTTTGTGTTTAAATGCTAAAAAAAAA